GAGCTTCCATGTCTATGGTGTTTACTATGATCTGGGAGTTTGACATATTAACTCATTTGACCCACAGACTAGCCCTAGGAGGTAGGAATCACCATCCCAATTTACAGATGACAGAACGGGATAGAGCCAAAGTCATCTGCAAGATTACACAGCTGGACTTGGCAGTCTGGCTCCAGTCTGTGTTCCTAAACACAGAGGGCACGTCAGCAGGCATGAGAAGTGAGCAGGGCATGAGAGTGAAGCGTGGGCATTGTATCTCTCTGCCTCAGGCCTGGGCAGGTGAGTGAGAAGCACGGGCTTTGGTGTCAGCAACCAAGTTCATAGTGCATCTGTCTCACCTGCGGGCTGAATGATCTTGAACGAGCCACTGGCCATGACTGAGCCTCCAGGTTACTCTTCTCTAAACCAGGATGACAAAAACAATAGTTTTATCGCCCCATTTGTTGAAAGGCTCACATGAGATGAACAGGATCCAATGCAAAGGTTAGTTAATATGTAGGCAGAAGCTGTTGACTGCAGCAGGGACACCCACACCCCATAGAAACGAGCCTGAAGGAACTAAAATTTTCTCGTTTAAGAATCATAGGCCTGGAAGAAACCCCAGTCGCCATAGCAATATGTTAAAGAACAAAAATTTAACCAAGTAAAATTAATGGCTTGATTCAACAATTCATGCATCGGGCAGCATCCCATCTAGTAAATAGAAAGGTGCTCCAAGGAACTGTATAAAATGGAAGGTTTTTATAGGTAGAAACAGGGTGAGACAAGGAAGTTAAAAGAGTGGATTATTTCAGGCAAGGTCACCTTCCCTTAAGGCAGCAGTTCTCAACCTGTGGGTCACGACCCCTTTGGTGGTCGAACAACCCTTTCACAGGGGTCGCCTAAGACCATCGGAAAACACATATATAATTACATATTGTTTTTGTGATTAATCACTATGCTTTAATTATGTTCAATTTGTAACAATGAAATTGGGGGTCACCACAACATGAGGAACTGTATTAAAGGGTCGCGGCATTAGGAAGGTTGAGAACCACTGCCTTAAGGGAAGGCAGGGGGTCTTATCTGGCAGATGACCTCACTAGGGTTGACCAGAAATCCCAGGCTGACAGGGTTAAAATTCTATTCTTGGGAGAGGCTACAGTTGCAATTAGATTAAGTATTAAGTCTTGGTGGGGCTTAGCCAAAGTGACTCCATTTTGGGCCTATTGTTTATTGTTTCTTTTTAACAATTCCTTCCTCTTGATCAAATTTTCCGTCTGAGAGATGTGATCAAAATTTAAGGCATCGGCGCCACTCTCAGCTACCGCTCTGTACTATACTAGTTCTAGAAATTTCCATTGATCCTTTTTGGTTTTTACTTTTTTGTTTTGTTGTTTTGTTTTTGCTGGTAATAACAGGTTACAACTTTGGGCTCACAGTTTTTTAGGGTAAATCCTATCAGGCACAATCCACTTCCATGAAGGTGGCATTATTAATGGATTCATTTGCAGCAATTGTTGCGCTTGCTCATTCAAACCAGGGATTAGTTAGGTGTACTCCTAGCCTGCAATAAATAGTTTTCGAATCCAGAGGTTATCCACCTTCCCAAGGGTGTGGCATACAGGTGATGGCATTATCTTTTACTTTGGCCAATGACAGAGTAAAGAAAAAAAAAAAAGAAAGTGGTTGAGCATCGACCTATGAACCAGGAGGTCAGGTTTCCATTCCAGTCAGGGCACATGCCTGGGTTTTGGGCTCAATCCCCAGTGTGGGGTGTGCAGGAGGCAGCTGATCAATGATTCTCTTTCATCATTGATGTTTCTCTCTTTCTCTCCCTCTCCCTTCCTCTCTGAAATCAATAAAAATACATTTTTTAAAAAAAGAAGTAAGGTTTCATGTTTAGCTGAAGTAGGAAGTTTTGGTCTGGCATCTTGGGAAGAAATGGTCTACATCAATGTCAGGTGCTTCTCCTTTTAGTCCAAAATTTGGATAAAAATTATAGTCATCCTCCTCAGTTCATTCAGTCCCATGTCATTAATTCTTGTCCTTTTTAATCCAGCTTTTTAAATGTTATCTTAATTAGTTCTGGAAATTCCCATCCAACTCTGCTACCTGATCGCAGAGTCATCAGGATGGTGCATTTGTCAAACGTCCCCTCCGTGAATCTCCTTGAAGGTAAAGCACTTTGCAGGAACATGTTGATAAACCTTCAGAGTAAAACAGTAACTATAAATTGAAGATCTGGTGAGAGTTTTTATTATAATAGAATTGACGAAGAAATTTGATCATTCCTTTAACATGCAACATTTTATAACATTATACCAGAACATACTAGACTTTAGGAATTTCAGATAACTTCTAGAATGCTTAGAACATATACTTACACTAATACAACATAAAGAAAGCTTCGTATTACTTCTGATTTGACAATACTTCCTATGTATTTTAACATATCAGATGAGCCTGATTCGTGTAACATCTCCCCTTTTATGAGAAGAGAGAAAAATCTTTTGAGATATTCTAGGAGCCTTTTACAAAATCCCAAGTTAGTTTGAGGTCAAAAAGACTTCATTTGGAATTTGATTTGGGGAAATTTAAAAATAGCAAAAGGTTTTAAAGCTAATGATCCTATTAGTCAAATAGGACCACGCGTTACTGTGAAATAACACTTAGTTATCTATTCAACCAAAGAAACAAAGATTTCACAGGCAAATAGTAGATAGTTACGTAGTTCTGAGCAAGATGCTGCCTGGTGCTGGGCAGTGTCACTTACACTTCCTTGGATCCATCTGCTCTCTAGGGCCATTAGGAAAGTACAGAGAATGGTTTTTGGTTTGCCCGTGATCCTGTTTTACAAGAGTCTGACTTGGAAGGAAAAGAAATGGATGTTGAGAATGACTTGGTTTTCCTGTGGTCTTGTTTTAACTGTTTGGCAGTCACTTACCTGTCTGTCTGAGGTCCTGTCCCCTGTAAACTCCCACTAGGGTTGCTGAGAAACCCCTTGTGGTAATGCCACGTCCGACAAAGGCTCTCAATGCTCATTTGATGCGTTGACAGTGCTTTAACTCTAAAGGTGCTTCAGCATGTGCCCAGCCCTCCTCGGGGGCAGGCAAGGCAGAGTCTGGATCCTTCCGCACCTGCTGCTGCCAAGGCAACCTCCTGCAGACACCAGCGCTTACCTACTTAGATTGACAGACCCCTGGAGCCCCTCAGGACCACCCCTAGTCCAGTGTGGAGCGGGGTTAGAAGGTCAGGAGTGACAAGTACTGCTGCTTAGAAAACCAGAACCTGCAGGAAAGAAGTGTGGGCTGCTTCGTTTAAATGTCACATTCAAAGACTGAAGGCAATTTAATGAGAGCCGAAGTGCCTGGGGAAATAATTAAAATGCACAAGAATCAAATTTACTTCTGCCCTTTGTTTCTTCTGAGCTGCAAACCTGTTTTGAAATGACGTGCGGCTTTCGAGTGACAAGGTCAGTTGCGGGGGAATCATCTGATGAGCGCAAACATCTCACAAAGAAACCCCCAATTAGGAAGGTGGCCTGAGCCCAGAGGTGGAATTAGAGGATGACAGGTGAATGAGAAATAAGACAAGTTTATGGGGTTGTAGCTGCCAACCAGTCTGGCCCCTGGGAGACTGATCAAAAGAAAGAAAAGTCTCCCCAAGAAAATGAGGGGTGACGACCTTGTTTTGCAGTTGTCACTCCTGTTGATTGTATGTTTCACCCACCGCTTAACCACATTCTCCGCCGCTGGGGGGGATTCTGGGAGCAGAGACAGTCTGTCCTTGGGCTTTTGGTCACTCTTAAGTTCCCTCCCTCCCTCCCTCTCTCCCACGATGCTCCTCAGCAGGCAGGTGGTGACAGAGTCATAGATGCAGCTGTTTTCTGGCCACGGGAGTGGCC